AATCTTAATGTTTCTCATTGGCAAATGAGTAGGAGGTTAGGTACAGGTTTTAGGGGTAAATAAATTTCATACATGATTTCCTTCATGGGCTACCTATCCCTGGGTGAACCATGCATAGTATTTTACTATTCATGCCTTGCTAATTTCAGGTTTTCCACTTTCTGTGCATTTATTTATTTTTCTCCATTTTGTCCACTTTGTAGCCTAATCCTTAAATTTTAATGGCTATATATAGGTATTAAGTCTGGTATAATAGGTACATTTAGTCAAAACTCTAAGCATTGTCAGTTGAATGATCTGTAATAAAATTTTGTCTGTGCTAATGGACTCAGAAGGAAATATATGCAGGAAATATGACCTTTATTTACCTTGATATGAAACCTCAATATTTCAAAGATAGACTCTTTTTTTTTTTTTTTTTTCCCCTGCTGAATAATAAGCAGCTGGAACAGTGAACCGGTCTCAATTTCTGCCTTCAAGTGCTGGGCAGTAAGATTTTCTGGTTTAGTCGTATCTTCAAATAAATACCTCTTCAACTTAAACCATTTTTATATCTGACACAAAGATAAGGCAAAGAAGAAAGCTTAAGATGTAAAATAATCATACGTGTTCCTTAAGCAGTCAGATTTATGCCTAATTTTGTGCAATAAGCTGTCTTCAAATTTTGTCATTTGCCAGTTACTAAGGGCTAGTCTGCAAATGCCACCACTGCGGTGGGCAGAAATCCTTGTGCAATACCCTTGTGTATTCTGGTATAGGCATAAACAGTTCTACAATTATCCAGTATTAGCATGTGAGTGGAAGGATACACTTACAAGTCTAGCAAAGGTATGGTGGGATACTGAGCAATCTGCACCAGAAGTCACTTTGGATTAAACTGAGAAGAAACCCACTCTGGAATGTCATCTGTAGTAAGCTATATCTATACCTAAGACACAAGTAAAATATGCTTCAGATGGACATAATATTTTGATGCTTTATTAATATGTTGATTTCTAATATCATCTATTTCTTTACTATCAAATTAATCCCAATGTAGTCAAGATTAAAAATGTGTAGGGTTTACTATGACTGAATTTGACCTGTGTTGGATGAAGAAGTATGCTTTGTGTTAAAGCTTTTGTCCGCAGACTAATTGTTTGGTATTTCTCTTATTACAAGATATTTTCTTTTTTTCCCTCCTTACATGGAAATCACCGAAATCAGTAAGAATAGCACACCTTGAAAAATGAACCTCTCAAAAGGATTGTCATGTGTTGAAGATATTATTTCAGGTTTAGACTTAAAATGCCATCTTACAGTAGAAATACATGAATTTGAAATGTGAGAATTCAGGGATTTGTCGGTTATCTAGTGTATTATGTAGCTACTGGATGAATTTGGGCACTAGATTGTGTACAAATATGTTAAGTGGACATTAATATCAGTCATATTTTCTTGCCAATTTTCTTATTATCAGAGAAAATAATGCTGACAAAAGTTGACTTGTGTGAAGGATTGTCATCAGGACTGGTGGATTACTCAGCTGGAGTTTGCAAAATGAAAACATTTTTGTTGATTTTTACTAGGCATTTTACTTGTCTTTACCTCTTCTTCCATGACTTTGGAACTAGCATGAAAAATACCTTTAATAGCATCCTTTCTTTCCTGTCTTTAAACAAAATTAACTGGGGCTTTCTCATTCTGTGACAGCTTCTCAAGGATAGGATCTGTTTCATTACTGAAAAAGAACTAGGTTCTCCTTGCCTGACCATGAATTTATTTTTTCATTCTATGCTAAAGCATGGTGGTACTTTTCCATTCTGGATTCCAGATTTTCTAGTAAACATACTGTATGCCTTAAAGCAAGAGGACCAACAAACATCTTGTGAAGATGATATGCTGCTTCTCTGAGACAACACTCCATTATCCATGTGAGGTCAATATAACCAGCTCATATGGTTAGAATAAAAAAGAAAGTTGCCAATGGTAGATACATAGGAGTAAAAATATCTATTCTGATTACATAGCTGTAAAATTCCTTTTGAAGCCTTTTCAGTGTTTCATTTTAGCTACATTTTTATTTGCAGATTATTCACAAATTAATCTAGAATCATAGAATTCGTGGGATTTGGTTTTGTTTCTTGTAGATAATTGTACATGCAGCTGATGTAGATTTTTCTAGCTGAGTTCTGCTATTATTAGATAAGGTATTTACACTGGACTGGTCTGCAGTTTTTCCATTTGCCCATTTAATCCCTTGAATGCCTTTCAGTTTGTGCAGTTCTCCTGCT